TCCATCCATCCATCCATCCATCCATCCATCCATCCATCCATCCATCCATTCCTGGTTCCCAGTGTCATCAACCAAAATCAAACTGGCCCCTGAGGGATGCCCACAGGAAGCAGCAGTTTCTTCCTTTCACTCTATGAGCTGTAATTCTCCACAGAGGCAGCTGTTGCTGCTGCCAGTCAGATGTTTGGTTCAATGAACGCTGAGGTTTGTTCTTCAGCGTTCCAGAACTGGACCAATCCCTGCAGGCCTGAGGAGAACAGATCGATAAATGAGACAAGCACAGAAATGTCTAATTTATGGAAAAAAGGTTTACTGTTTAAAGTTCTGTTTTTCTGTCCTTTGTCCTTCCTTTCTAGAATATTATTAACTTTATGAAAGGAAGCGGTTTTACTTCAGACTTGCATTTCTGATGTAATGGAACCTAAAAATGCTTTTTAAAAGAAAGAGGAAGTCACAAAGTTCAGCTTTTTGTTTTGCTTTCCTCCAGAAGCCGTCCACCATCTTTGATTATGAGTGATGAATAATTATCCCTCTATTTCATTTAAAGCAAATATAATATTTTGTGTTATAGAATTGAGTTTATATTGTGTCTTTTATATTTGCAAAGAACACATTTTGTAAATGGAAATAAAAAAAAAAGTCTTAACTAAGAAAAGTTTTAAATTAGTTTTTCTTCTCATATTTAAATTTTTCAAATTATCATATTTTCAAAATTGTATTCACTGTTTTTCACAATCCTTTTTTTTTGTAATATTTTTGCATTTCATTAAAAAAAGTTTTTTCTTTTAGAATAAATTTTTTTTCTTCAGATTTTCTTTTTTCAGATTTTTCGTTTATTTTGTTGTGACATTTTCCTGATCACTTTCCTTTTTTACTTCTGGAGGCGGGCTTTCCTCTGCGGTGAGAAGCTAAGACGCGTTTCTATTGGTCCGCTGGGCGTAAGGAACACTTTTATTGGTCAGGAGCGAGAGTTTGCGCTGGAAGTGAGCAGAGCTAAATCTAAACAAAGATAAATTAGAAAACATCAAATTGGAAAAAATAAAATGATTAAAAGATGATATAAAAAATTAAATCTGAGAATCCTGCAAAGATACTTTTAAAAACATTTTTATTAAGAGGTTTTATATCTGGAATATTTTTTCATTTTCAAAATCAGTTCTTTGCAGCAATAATGTAACAAAAGTGCCTCCATATTTAAAGGTATTGACAGCTATTCTGTTAGGAAGGTTGTTTTGTTCCTATTCTGATCAAACGCTGCGATGAGCCGACGCTCGCTGCTCCGGCCTCCTGGCCCTGCAGACATCCTCCACTGCACTTTAAATCAGCACCACATTATTAAACGACTGCTTTTCAAGGCCTTATATTTTTCCCAAATAATAATTTGCCGTTCTTATCAGTGAGGGAGGGAGGAGGGGCAGCACTGTGATGCACACCAGTAGCAGAAGCTCCGCCCACTTTGCAGCTTCCTCTGGGATCATAACAGAAGGTCTTTCCACCCTAGTGATGCTATAATAATATAATCTGTTTTATTATACTAGCGGTGTAACGACACATCAGCTCAACATTCCTCTTTAAAGGTCAAAGCTACTTTTTCATCAAAAGGATGAAAATTTTATTAAAAATATGAAGTATATAAAAAAAGTGTTTTTTCAATACCTGAACTTGAAAGATCAACTGTAATACAATGGAATTAATAATCACTGATTAATAATCAACCGTTTATGGTGTTCAAACTGGCTCGCTATGGACCGCTATAAGCAGATTCCATTTAGGACTGAAACGATTCATCTGATTGATACGTTCACATTGTCCTTCCGACACTAAATGGATTTATATATACAACATTTATATATTTGTACATGTTTTTACATTTGCAGTTTAATAAAATACAGAATAAAAGAAAAATATTTTTTAATTCAGTAATCTAAAGATTTCTCTTTAGATTACTGAATTAATTGAAAAAATTATAAATATTAGGGCTGCAGCCCAAAGATTAGTTATATATAATCTCTTGATTTTTTTCTTTCTGTATTAATCAATTAATGATCAGATAAGGTTCGTTAAGAATGACTTTTTACGAAGTTAAACCAGGTGAAACAGAAACGTTTCCGCTAGAAGAGTTTTTTTTACCTTAAATATTTATATATAAATATATTTGTATTTGTGTGTGTGTGTCTATATATA